GCACAGGTGGTGCATCGGCCACTCATCTCAGTCAGTCAACTCATGGCACTGCGCTACAAAAACGGCGAATCGGGTTCGATTCCTGCTCACGGCCAACACCGGTGACGATTATCAGAACCGGTCCTGGGCTTCCCCTAGTCGATCCAGCATCAAATGAGTACCTGGTGCGGTCCGTAAAACAAAAGGCATCCGGGCGTGGTGCTGGCCACCCACCCACCCCCTCGTGTGCTGTTCGCCCCACATGGGTGCTCTTCGCAAACAGCACTGCCCCAAGTCTGTTACAGGCTATCGGGGGGATCTTTGTCTTGTCTTTGATGTGCTCTCGTGGGGAGCGGTAGTGTAACTGTTAGCGCGCTCTGACGATTATCTGAACAGCACTTGCTACTCATAATAAAGGTTGCTGGGTTAGATCGCGTAAGTATAAATGTGTCGTAACTCTCCACCACCCGACGCAGCCAATTAGTAAGGGATTTGTCACGTAAACAAACGCCAATTAGTTACTACTTCAACCCACCGGTGTGTTGGAGAGTAAATGCAAGTTTATACTTACACGATCTAATCCAAAAATCTTATTATGAATAATATTTGTCGCGGAAAGCCGTGCCACGTGTTAAAGCATTTGCCCCGACAGTCTGTTCAGGCTACACGGGGGATCTTTGTATTGGCTGCCTGCCAAAAGATATTTGAAAGTAGCATTTGCCCCCCCTCCTCCACCCTCCAAGGAGAAAGTTCCCCCCCACCGAGTGGATCTGCTGTGATCGCGACGCTGGATCGAGGTTCTGCCGTCGCTGCCGTTCTGTCCGAGGCGCCGGTCGTGACGTACGGGGGCCGTGGAGGAGCGTGGAGATTAGCACCTCCCCTCCAGCAGGAAATGGGAAAAAAAGCATTAAAAAAAACGCCGACGTGCTCAAGGCAGGCGGCGCAAAGGTGACACGCCGGGGTCACGCGTCTCAGATCTGTAGCTCTGAGCCTCCCACGAGACGGCCGCCGGGGCCCCGAGCTTCGAGCCGTCGGTCGCCCCGGGCAAAATCTCGCCCCCTTTGTCGAAATCGCGGACGAATCGACGGCCGTCGGCCACCGAACCGCTTTCGTTCCGCGATCCGGAGCGAGCGTTTTTTTTTTTGCGGCGCAGCGATGGAAACGGAGAACGGCGTTTCCATTCTTGGGGGAGGGGCTGGGGTGGGGGGAGATCGCAAACGGCTGCTCGTTGCTCGCGAATTACAATATTTTTTTCCCCGCACACTGCGAGCGAAATGTTACCGTCGCTGCAAGTCGCTCGCTTGCGAAACCGCTCGAGCAGCAACCGCTCGCCAACGCGGCGGAGACGTCCGCGCGCAACTTTGCCGCGAGCAACCCAGTTGCAACCGCGTGCCGCGCGCAACCATGCGGTTGCAACTGGGTTGCGCGCAACGGCAGATGATGGTCACGCTGCAGCGAGGAGATCGGGTCGGCTGAACGAAGCGGTGTCGATGATCAGCCGGTTCTCACAGATCGCGCAAAAAACATTTTTAAAAACAACACACCCCTGTTCGAAGCAAGCAATGGGCAATAACTCTCACAGCCCTCAACTAGCGGTGGAAATTCCACGTTCCTATGCCGGGGGCTCATAATTCTCTCCACGTAGGACAACCACTTCCAGCAAGCAGTGCGCTCGTTGTCCATTCGCCTCCATCCAGCGCGCCGCCCCCAATCTCCGAGAAGCTGAGCAGAGAACACCGGGGGACCTGGCGAGCGCTTGGGAGGGTAACTGCCTGGGAAACCCGCAGGTGCTATAGGCTCTGGGCTGCGAGGTGCGGCCATGAGGCGGACGTCACAGCAACTTAATTGAATCCATTCGTGCGAGGCCGTTGAGTGTTATCACCATGAACTCTCCTGCCGCCCCCGCCCCTCCCGTACGCACGGTGAGCTTTCTCCAGATTCCCGGGTTTTGCCCGCCGCGCGCCACGTGTCGGGTGGCGAATGAAACCGGCCAAACATCGAAACGCAGGAACCCTCGAGAAAAACAGAAAACCCCAACAAAAAATTTGATTTCGTGGATTTACAACAAAAACAAACCCGGCATTATTGTGACGACGACGACGACGACGGTGATTAGGAGCCCCGCTGCTACACCAACTGCACGTTAATCGGAGTGATATTTACGAGGTTGCAGAGTGCCAAAATACCGGAGGCCGTAACATGACGGAGATTAATATTAATTAGCGCAGCTTCCTCTGCATCGTAACTGGGGGCCAATTAGAGAAATATTAGTTTGTTACTCTCCGTGAACACAAACTGTGATCCTGATTGACTGGCGCTCTACGATCACCGCAGGCTCGGCAAGGAGTGACCGCCAGGAACCGGAGAGTTCCTCCTGACACAGCGAAGCGGGAGGGCACGCGTGTTGCGTGTTGCGTGTTGTGTGTTGCGTGTGTGCACGTGTTGTGTTGCGTGTGCGTGTTGTGTGTGTTGCATGTGTTGCGTGTTGTGTGTGCGTGTTGCGTGTTGCGTGTTGTGTGTTGCGTGTTGTGTGTGCGTGTTGCGTGTGCGTGTTGCGTGTTGTGTTGCGTGTTGCGTGTTGTGTGTGCGTGTTGCGTGTGTGTTGCGTGTTGTGTGTGCATGTTGCGTGTTGTGTGGCGTGTTGCGTGTGTATGTTGCATGTGCGTGTTGCGTGTGTGTTGCGTGTTGTGTGTGCATGTTGCGTGTGTGCGCGCGCTCCAACGACGATTAGCCGACGACGCCAGCGACGAACCGCTCTCGACCTACGGGCAGCGGCGCCAGCGGCCGCACCGTGACGGACAGACGGGGGCGCTACGTCACCACCACCCCCCCCACCACCACCGCTACTACCACCCCACTACCACCACCATTACCACCACCACCACTACCACCACTACCACCACCACTACCACCACCCTACCACCACCACTACCACCACCACCACCACTACCACGCCACCACCACCGCCACCACCACCGCCACCACCACCACTACCACCACGACCACCACCACCACTACCCACCCGCCACCCACCCCAACTACCACCACCACTACCACCACCAACCACCACCGCTCTCTGGCGCTCCCTCCAGGGACGCGGCACAGCTTCTCCCCGCCCCGTCCCTTCCATGAATCTCATTTCAACGGCCTTCACCGACACGTGCGTACGTGCTGCATGCGCGCACGTGTGTGTGTGTGGGTGTGTGTAGTGTGTGTGTGTGGTTTGTGTGTGTGGTGTGGTGTGTGTAGTGTGTGTGGTGTGGTGTGTGTTGGTGTGTGTGGTGTGTGTGTGGTGTGTAGTGTTGTGGTGTGTATGTGTGGTGTGTATGTGGTGTGTGTGATGTGTGGTGTGTGTGTGTGGTGGTGTGTGGTGTGTGTGTGGTGTGTGTGTGTGTATGTGTGTGTGTGGTGGTGTGTGGTGTGTGTATGTATGTTTGTGGTGTGTGTGTGGTGTGTTGTGTGTGGTGTGGTTGTGGTGTGGTGGTGTCTTGTGTGTATGTATGTTTTGTGTGTGTGTGTGGTGTGTGAACCTGAAACGGTACGCGTGTGGACGGTGATCCTACTGAAACGGAGACCCAACAGATCATTTCCACGTCCGCCGTGAACACCCAGACGCTCCCGAACCAGCCCAGGGGCGACCGCGTTTCTGGCTCAGAATCGTGCATTGTGGGGTGGGGCGTTCTGGGTTCGTGCTGTCCCCGTGCTCGGTGAGGCTCCTAGTGGCTTCTAGAGACTCCTAGAGGCTCCTAAGACTCCTAGAGGCTCCGCGAGGCTCCTAGAGACTCCCAGAGGCTCCCAGAGACTCCTAGAGGCCCCGCGAGGCTTCTAGAGGCTCCCAGAGACTCCGCGAGGCTCCGCGAGGCTCCGCGAGGCTCCGTGTGAGCTCAAGCCGATCTGATCCTCGCCCCGCGAGCGCTCTGGCCTGACTGTCGGCGTGCGGCTGAGGGGCTTGGACCACCTCTTTGGGCCCCGGCTACGCTTCAAGCGGCGAGGCCGGCACACGGACTGCGCTAGGGAGAGCTTACCACGACAGGACCCGCTCCCTCGCCCCGCTGACGAAACCGTCGACGGACCTCGGCAAAAAGTGGCGCTGGGGGAGGCAAAACCCAAAGAAAAACGCCGCGCTCCGAACTGCCCGAATATCGACGGACCTCGGCAAATTGTCGGCGGCCAAAGGGAGCGCCCGTGTCCGTCCGCGCGACGTCTCCTCGTTCCCCACTACCGTTGGCCTGGCGAGGGAGGGTCAGGTCGGGTCGCGGTCGGGTCGGAGCCGGGGTGCGGGCTGTGCGAGGTGGGGGGGCGTGCATGGCGCGGGGTGGGGGGGGGTGTGGGG